GTTGGCGAGCTATGTGATTAGTCCGTTAAACACATTTAAATGTGACAAAAAATTCGTGACAAAGAATTCGTACCTTCACCCATGTGTAGGGAGTATAGCTGCTTCTTCACATACAATTTATTTGTCAGCGTTTTGGACATGTATAGCTTTCCAACCTTGTCCAAATGCCACGTGCGATGTCTTCATCAATGATGTTATTGACCACATCATCTGATAAGTGCAACCTGATTGCACTAGCAGCCCTTTAATCCAATTCAGTCCAATCCTTAGCTTTCATGGTATCAGGCTTTTTGGCATCAACACCAAGTACCTTGTGTAATCCTTGTTGAATGAGTAGACCCCTCACCTTTCTTTTCCATGTTGAGAAACCGTTTTCTCCGTTGAATTTTTCTACCTCGTACTTTACTCCGGACATATAGTACTACCGATAGTGAATAGTACTTCTATGAACGAGCAGAACATGTGCTCTGATACCGGTTGTTGGGAATTAACCCCCTACAGAAATAATATTTACAGTAATAAAAGCGGAATAATAATGTAGTACCGAGATATGGTAATTAACAAGAATAAAAGAGTGACAACGACACTAAGATTTTTACGTGAAAAACTCTTTTGAATAAGGAAAAAACCACGGCCCCGGGACGAGCAATTGATATCACTATAGCAAGAAAATTTACACTTTGTTGGTCCGAGTAAAATACTCCAAAGACCACTACAACACTCAAAAGAAATAACCCTCTTTTGATATTCCACCTCACTACAATATCGCTCACTCTCTATTTTTCTCACAGACTATTATTTTATACCTTGTGTGTGAAACTTCACTCTTTCTTTTTCTCTTTGTTGGTGTGTAGAAATGAGAGCCGAAACTCTTCTTTTATAGCCGAAGCCTCACTCTCTAAAGCCTACTATATTTGACAATTTGCACACACTTTTTCTTCTTTTTCTTCAATGTTGACAATTCAACAAAGTTGGCTACCAAACCAAAAAATTTAATAAAGTTAGCTACAAAATCAAAGAAATTCTCAGCCAAATATTTTTCTTAAGCACATGCCCGTTACTTTAGTTTTTGAACGAGATGTACCCCATCATGTGTACTATGCAAAACCTGCCCAGAAACCTCCCAACGCTTGTTTTCTTTGACTGAACTTTCTCAAGAGGCTTCTGGCAGAATATTTTGAGCTGGTTAAAGTGGAATAGAGATGTACTACCTTGGGAAAGGGATAAAGGCAATGGACACTAAAGGAAGCTAGATGAAGAACAACACAAGGAATACTGCTAAAAGCTTGTTTTGTTGCTGATGTTTATGATGTTTGGATTGAAAGGAACACAATGGATACGTCTCTCTCGTGCGCGCACGTGTTTGATGGTGGAAAAAATGGTTAAATCGACTCAGCCAACTCAAAATTATTTTTAATTTTTTGTTTATCTATTATATTTTGCTTAGTTACGAAACTAAACTATAAGAAAAAAATAAGCTTTTTTTGCTCTCTTTATCATGGTTAACATAACAAACCAAAACTGAAATAAATTTTCTTTTGCAATGGATGTATTAATTCTCTACATTCTTTTTTCTTTCTTGTGGCCGATACGTTTATTTTTTTATATTTTATTTATATTTAACTATTTAGATTTTGATAGTAGTCCATAAACGAGATATATGGTTACCAACCGTGCACATTACGTGCTTGGTTTGTGACATATTTGTGCTTATCAAATCTGTAGGTTTCTTGAATCAATATATAATAGTGATATGTCATTACTGATACTCTTTTATTTTCTGTAGAAACTTATCAGAAGACCATGTTATTGATGGAATTGATCTTGAGCTGGAGTAAGTGAGTGAAGTAAGTGGTAGTGAAAAACTCTCGAGGACTTCCAGCAATAACTCAACTGACTCTACTTTTGAGCATGTAGAGGGCTCAAGAGATCCTCTTTCGGGATCAGTCCCATCCCGAGATGTAGTAGCCAATCAACAAAATATTCAAAGAAGCTATGCACCTTCAATGAATGTTAATGAAAATTGCCTTGGCTATATGTATTTTCAACATTCTGAGATTGCCTCTCCCCGTTGGAGAATTCCCTTGGTGGAAAAGGTGTGTAAACTTAAGTTTTTTAATAATTAGTTAGAAAATTTTAAAATAACATGAGAATGTGTGACGTTAGGTCAGAGTTTGATGAACAAGAGGTTTTCCTACTTTTTGATAAGTTGAGACTATTTTTGAAAAGAATATATTTTTAATAGTCACTTAGTATTCTTAATTTTGTATTTTAAAGTAATATTTTTTGATTTTGTTTTGGATATTTCAGATATATGAATTTAGTGAGAAGCATCCAGGACTTCAGACACTGAAGAGCATTGACTTGTCTCCTGCAAGTTGGATGGCTGTTGCTTGGTATTTTTTTTTTCTTCTTCCTATTTTTACCTTTGTAATAATTTCAAGTGAAATTCCAATAATACATTGATGAAACAATTAAATTTATTTTTTCCACATAGCAATAAAATTTATCAATTCAATATCATATAGAAATTTGGAATTGATGTTAATGATAATTGTTTTCTAGAAATTATTATTAAGGAAAAAATTCTCTCCATTATTCATCTATTTATTCAATTTAGAGAATTTGAGTTAATTTTCTCTAATTTTATTGTTAGGTACCCAATCTACCATGTACCAATGAAGGGAATTACCCAAAATATATCAACATACTTCCTTACTTATCATACATTATCAGCATCATTTCAAGGTACGTCTTTCAATTTTCCTATTCGCGTAAATATAAGTAAAATCTGGTTCTTGGCCGTGCACGTTATGTGCTTGGTTTGTGACATATATGTGCTTGTCAAATATTTAGTTTCTCGTACTTAATCAATATATATATATATATATTCTAATTTTTATACATTATATTGCAATATTGCAGATGACTTTGATGATGACATATGTAAAGATCTTCCTATTGAAAA